AAAAAATAACCATGGGTTTGACATTTGACATCCAAGAAGTGTCCAAATACTTAATTACAAACAAACTTCTTTTTTTGTGAAATGTGCATGTTATATCCTTCTTTAAAATCAATGCCATTTCATACGCAATGAAATTCATACACTTTTAAGTGTTCAAATACTTTTTGGGGCCTCTGTAGCAAATTAAGACTGTGATGTTGAGATCTATATTCAATAAATTCTCAAATTGTAGGTTAAAAGTCTAGCTAAATTGAGAGATAAAAATATAATTAAACAGCAGATCGTCTTCATTTAGGGTTATTATAGTTAACTAAAATTAAAATCATAAAAAGTGTTTTCATTGCTTCAAATTAAATATATAAATCAAATAAAATATACAAACCCTTAAACTAATTTATTTCAGCTAGCTGCCGAGACATCTCTCATTTTCACTGCTGAACTTGATACAGTAACATAAAATAAAAATGAATAAAAACTATATAGACATATTTAAAAACAACAAAAACTAATAAAAAAGACAAAAACACACAACAAAATTATTAAAACTTTACTTAAAAAAAATAAAATAAAATAGAACATAAATAAAAAGTAATTCCAAATATTGATAAAACTATACTATAACTGACCTCTGAACTGATCTCACTGACACTCAAATAATGTGTCTCCACCACATTTAAAAAATAAGTCTCTATTTCAGATGTATAAACACTTCCCACATACCTTTCACTTTTTTCTCCAGAAAACAATAACTCCTGTACTTGCATGCAGGAACGAAGCATCCGTCTAAAAAAGTTTGCATGCAAAGAATACCAGAGCACCAGAAGAGCAGCACAGAGACAGTGATATATAAAGCAATTGAGAGCAGTGCGCTGAGATGCCATGATTAACACATAACACAGACAAATGTTTATTCTAGTGACATCAAGAATGTGGCGTGTAATATGTGGAGCAGAGATAGGTGTATTTGTCACTCTCCGAAGCGTTTGTAGTTATGCATGTGTGTTTACTGATGACTGCTGCTGACGCCAGTGCACGCAGGGGCCAGTGACTAATAATGACTCTCCGTTTTGCCAGATAGAATAATGAAAAGTCACATGCAAGAGAGGAAGAGGGTGAAAGGAATAGTTTGTCCAAAAATGAATGTTCTGTCATCATCTACTCACCCTCAAACCCAAACCCAACCCAAGCTTTCTTCTAACAAATATTGGTCCTAATAATGAAACACACACACACACACACACACACACGCAGGTTTGTTTTTGTGAAAAGTGGGGACATCCCATAGGCGTAATGGTTTATATACTGTACAGACCGTATATTCTACTGCCCTACACCAACCCTACCCCTAAACCTACCCCTTACAGGAAACTTTGTGCTATTTCAGATTTTCAATACACTCCATTCTGTGTGATTTATAAGCGTTTAGAAAAGTGGGGACATGGGGTAATGTCCTGAAAAGTCACCTTCTCCTTGTAATACCTATGTCATACCCTTGTCATTATACAAATGTATGTCCTCATTTGTCACAAAAACGCGCGCGCACACACACACACACACACAAAACCCTTAAAAGTAGTCCCACTTTATATTTATATATATACAGTATATATATATATGAGTCTTTATTTGTCTCATTTTCCAGTAAATACCCTACCAGTCAGTAAGATGTTTGAATTGAAAATACAATAAAAACAGTAATATTATTATTAATTACAATTTAAAATGACTTTTTTCTATTTTTATATTTAATATACATATTTTTTCAGGATTACTATGAAAAATGTTTAAAAAACATTACCTTTTTTAACTTTATAAATGACTTTACTGTCATTTTTGATCATTTTAATGCACCCTTGCTAAATAAAAGTATTAATTTCTTAGATAAAATAAAATCTTATTGTAGTGTTCTGTATATCTAGAAATATTCAAAACAAGCTAAATTTACTAAAGATGCAACACTGCATAGAATATTAAGGCTTCTTTTCAACATTGTTATTAAAATCATGTGAAAAAAACTTGTTTTAAAGGTACTTAATATCTTAATATCTTATGCAGTTTTGTGTATAAAGTAAAATTATTTGTTCAGATTTTAATTGGAGATTTTTGAAAAGACACAAATAAGTTGTATGGACCACTTTTCTGATTATTTTGTCGTGATGTGGTTATATCGACTGTGTGACAATTCTCCGTTTGTATTCCAAAAGGAAACAAAACCAAGGGGTGTAAATGATGACGATTCCTTCAAGAACAGAGAGACAAGCAGATAGAGACACCAGACGAGAGACTAAATGATGAACTAGATATTGACTTGGGCCAAAGAGACAAGATGGAGTGAAAAATGAGCAAAAGAACGAGGAGGCGATGAAAATGGCATCTCTCGGGATGCCCAGTCTGAGTATTAGGCATCAGGATTGTCTGGACCCTCCCAAAAGCATTTTAAAAATAGACCTGTGCGGAGACGGCAAGCGAAAGAGACAGAACCAGGACCATGGGTGGAGGGGCGCTGGAGGGAATCAAGGTCAAACCGCAGAAAGAAAATTAATTATGAATCCGTCCACATATGGAGGATTATTGAGAACAAACACAGAGGAATGGGAATGGAGAAAGGAGGGAGAGATGGGTTTGAAAGGAGGACTGAAGGAGGAGAATGACAGTGATATAGGAGCGCCTATACATTTAAAAAATATATTATTAAAGACGAAATGTGTAATTTTTGTGCAGAAAGGCAAAACAGGTTTCTTTAATACTCACCCCATCTGCAATTGGTCGATCAAAACAAATAATAACAAGCTCATGCCATTCGTTCAGCCAATGTTGCTGTATTAGACTGGCCGGGATGCTCAAATAAAATTTGTAGCATGTCTTTTAAAAACAAGATCTGCCTGCAACTTTTACATCTTCACACAGGATGTAAAAACACCTTATGTTGGGGTGGTTATGTTTGCTCAAACAAGCACCCTTTTGCCATCTTTGGTCCCCCCCCTTTTTTTTTTTTGCTTGCAGAAGGAAAACACACTTTTTGCCACCACCATCTGTTTCTGTATCTAAAATGGATCTTGTTACAAAAAAATCAGACCTAATTAATCTCATCCAAACGCAAGTGGCTGCTTTCTGTTTGCTAATAAAAATGTGTAAAAGCTATGATAAGCAATATGCGATTCTTCACCTGTGTAGATAGCTGAAATTACATCAATTTCCTTAAGAGGATCTTCCTTAAGATTAAAAAAAAGATATCATGTATAAAAAGAAAAAAAAGACGTTGCTAATGGAGCATTACTTCATAAGTGAGACAAGCAGGTAAATGGCTATTTTAATTCAAAATATAATATACACTCTAAAAAATGCTGGGTTAAAAAGAGACAAACCCAGCTGTTGGGTTGTATTGAACACAACCGCTGGGTCAAAACAACCCAATAGCTGGGTTTGTCCCTTTTAAACCCAGCACTGGGTTATATTTAACCCAGCATTTTTTAGAGTGTAATATAATATAATGGCATAGATTAATATAATTAGCTGCAAGATGGATGAATCGCACAAAAGCTGTCAAGAACTTGTCCACGTCATATTACGTCAAAAATAAAAAATAAATTTCAAATAAAAACAGAGAGAGGAATTTGATTTGCTTAAAGAAAATGTAGCTATTTAAGGATCTTTTGCATTGTAACATTATTTTCATGACAATAACGCACATTTCCACCCAATTCTCTTGACTGCAATGCAAAAACATTGAATTTCTATTACTTTAATGCAGAAAAAATATGATGTACTCTTTTAATTTTAAAAGAATTATGTACCATGAAAGAATTTGTTGATTTAATCAGCATCTGGATTTGTGCTGGATTTAAAGAGTTTTCAAAAATGTTCATGAAAAAAAGAAAAACTCCTAAAAAAGCTCTCTTAATGTCACAGCTACACTGTATTAAACACACAAAGACGAAGAAGAAGGTTTATAAAGTCTTTAATTCAACACACGTGCTCCGTCTCAATGTGCCTACTTATACTACGCCCTTAAAGTATGTACTCTTTTCGTGAAGAAAAAGTATGTGTAGTAGAAGAGTAGGCAAGCTTTGGCACATACTATCACGTCACACAACTGCGTCTCTGTCGCACCTGTTACACGCACCTTGTCAAACTGGCCTGTCAATCATCTTGTCACAGTTTATCCTCCACATTGCATTTCATTTAACTTACTACCGTACTGGAGAGAAAAGTAGCAGCACATTGATCTGCTAGTCGCGGGTCTTTCATGCTGAGAACTCTTCTCATATTTTCTGCATAATGATGCATTTAAAAGTTAACGACCAAATGGATGTTTATAAAAGTTCACATTGATTATTAGTAACTCGAACCCCTTTTTGTAAACCCCTACCTAACCGTCGATCGTGTGCATCCGCCACGTTTGTAGTTTTTCTAACTCGTTTTATTCGTGTTTGTAGTTCTTGACCGAATCCTTCACCAAAGCGCAATGGATTGTGGGCAATTTTAGCCATTAGAGTGTGCACGGATCCACGCTTCAAAAATCGACCTGAAATAGTAGACCACTTTTGGCATACTCTTTTCAACATACTATGCTTTGGGATACACTTATTCTAATCTCACATACTATTTAGGATGGATAGTATGAACATTGAGACGCAGGGACGGGGTAGCATAAACGCAGACGAGACCGGACAAACTAGAACTGAACACTACGGAACCAAACAAGGATAATTAACTACACACATCTGAACAAAATGACACAATTAACTCAATGACTCAAGTCCAAACTGAATGACACGTGACACTTAACGCTTCTAAAATAAGCTTTATTTTCTTTCTTTATTCACCCAGAATGATGGAATTGACAAAAAATGACCATGGATTATGGTATAAAATTTTTTTGAGAATTCTGAAATGAACTACGGGGATTATATACACATTAAAAAATGTAGAATATTATAGTCAAAAGTACTTTTCATTGTTCCTTATGATAAAATAATACTTCCATTTCTCATGAACAGGTCATCGTTTGGGGAAACTATGGCCGGATGGATCGTAAATGCTTCATGGGCGTGGCCCGCATCCTATTGGAGGAGCTGGATTTGACAAACATGGTGATTGGCTGGTACAAGCTTTTCCCCACCTCTTCTATGGTGGACCCCACGATGGCGCCGCTGATCCGCCACTCCTCACAGCTCTCTCTGGAGAGCACCGTCGGGCCGTGCTGTGAACGCTCATAAGACTAACAACTCCACTAGATTTATTTTTCTCTGGAAGGGCTCTCACAGCTCCCCCGATCCTAAGAGTGCTGGTTGTGCATGACTGCGGCACCCGAAACCTCTGGAATGCTCTAGAATTTCTTCGGAAACAAATGACCTTTCTGCAATATTCCAGAATTGACCAGAGAGGAAATGCTCTTTTTCAGCCTCTGAGAAAAAGGCAAAGAATGCAGACCAGACGTCTGGGCTTTATTTTAGCTTTCAACACATTAGCTTGTGATGGTCTGTATGAGGAAGCATCCTCCATTTAGAGCTGATTTCCAGAAAGCAGGTAAATGTTTGTGCATTCGTCACAGTGGGTGCTGCAACGGATTGGATGAAACAGATGGGTTCGTGCAATATAACATACAATAGAGAGAAGAATGCATCAGTAATAAAAGTGCGGGTTTGCATTCATTTTCTTGTGTAATTAACAATACAAGAATAGATATATGTCTTAAAAAGATTCAATGTGTGTAGTTTGAAAAGAGTCGATGTTTGTAGTTCATGATTTCGTTTGCACACGGATCTTTTTCTGTTTGTGTCTCTTCCGTTTCGTCTTTCTCATTACTGAACAGTGCCAATGCTGCCAGCAAGTGGCTTTATTTGTGGTTAGTGTCTATATTCAGTAACTACAGGCGTTATGAGTCAGTAGTCTAAGCAGACACATATTTAAAAAGACTAATTTTCCACAATCTTTTCCCGAATGGTGACATATTCCAGATGAGGAATTTTTAATGTCATTGTATGTTTTCCCCCACTAATATTATATGGGAAAATTAAAATGGATGCAAGATGCTGAAGTAACATAGTGATTATGAAATAAATGTGAGTAAATTATATACTTAGAGTTATAACTACAGTAGTGGTCGACAGATATGAGGTTTTTAATAGCTGAAACCAATATCTAGAGAGCAGAGTGGCATAAACAGACATGATATATACATATATAATACAATTTTATGATGACATGTACATGAAATGAATTAATTTAAATGAACACATTTTCAGAAAAATATTGAAAAAGGAAAATTTGTTCCATTCATAAGGCTGTGATTTTTAAAACAAACATTAGGCAGAATGACCACTTCTGAAAAAAAAAAAAAAAGAAAAAAGTCAAACATTGGTCAAATTAATCGCCATGGCCGATATTGAAGAGTCTATTACTAATTATTAAAAGATAATTTAGTTTTGCACTTTATAATCTTAAATGTCTTTCTTATAAGTAACCGCTAGTTTGGGATAAGCCAAAGTTCATTTTCTTCTTAATATTATGATATTATTTGTGACTACGGGATGCAGAACCTTTAGTAGCAATGATAAGGTTGTAGCATTAGATAGTAGCATACGCATGAAAGGCATCTTAGTTTGCCACCATCTAATGAGATTTTGCATGGAATTGATTGATACCGGATTATAGAGCGTTTTCGCTGGCAGTCGAGCAAACATGTAGCAGCGGACGATCAAACGAAAATACTGTTACATTGCACTGAGATGTACTGTGTGCCGTCCTGATGCAAGATCAGCGTCAGGGATTAATAAATACTGATACAAATGTTTTCATACATCCTGAAATGATGAAAAGCAAAACATTTCTACGCTCTAGCACAGAAAGGGAAGAAAACGGCATTCTGCATAGCCAAGAATTTTTACGTCCAGCATAAAATATATGACTATTTGCGAAGAAAATACACTATTTACCACTAGACAAAATAATTTTTTAAAAATATGTATTCCTCTCTGAGAAGTTCAGGAGTGATGATTTCAATTAAAACTGAAAAATGCAAATACCCTCAACATAATCATGCTATAAAGGCCATATAAAGCACTGCCACATTTAAAAAAAAAACTTTAACGTTTATTGTCTTAAAAAGCAATAACTAAATTATTTTTTTGCTCACTTTATTTGTTACAGGGATTAAAGCCAGATTGTCTCTGCATTACATTAGAAACTTCTGCATTCATGTAGCAATATATACTTGATTTTAGAGGAAGCACTGAATGTCTGAGATCCTCAAGACTTTAGTGCCATTTCAAACATGTGTTGATGGGCTAAAATAAATTCATGATTTGGAAAAACCTTTTCGAGCAATGTAGTGATTAGCATTGTATATTAATATAGACGATATATATTAATATACATGAATTTAATATAGCATCATTTCATTGTTCATATACATCAATGCCAATCAGTGTCTGAAAAACTACATATGAAACTACATCTTTTTTGGTCTGTTTATTGTAAATAGACATCTTAGTGGGCAAAACAACAATAAATCATCAAGGTCTGATTTGGGATGTCAATATTGGCATTAAGGTTTTAGGCTCTAAGCAACACAGTTCTCTGTTTACATCAGCATGATGTTATTGCTGATATTTTTAAATCTGGATTGGATATAAAATTGCTTTTAAACTCCAAATACACTCCAGATGGTATGAAAGTATGAAATATCTCCATTCCACAGTAGTTTTTGTAAAGCCTTAACTTGTAAACCAGAGGTCTTAACACAATTCCAGTTGTATGGCGGAGAAACGAGCATGCAAGAATGTCATTCTGCTTTTATTTCTAGTAGTTTTCTGTCTTTCTCTTTCTTTTTGTATTTACTGTTACTTTAATATGGTAAATAGTCATGGCCTTTTGTCATCGCATTTTTCACCACACAATTTTATAACTAATTAATCTACCATATCAACTATACTTGTTGAAGTTGATAGGGCAAAATGATCAACATATTCCTAAAAATTGGATGCTGTGATATTTTTCTTTGTGGAGATACTTGTTTAATTCCTTATTACTATTCATTATATGTACATTTGAATTCGTAAAATAATGTCACTGTTGATTAATGCACAATTTAGTGTATTGTTACTCTGCTGAAAATGGTTATGCAGAATAAAATAGCTCACTCTGATTTACAAAACACATTTTTGGCTGATGATTGCCTGATGCTTAGGAGGAGATTTACCCTGAAACCATCTGATAACCTTTGACAACTAACATATGACGTTAAGCTTATTGTGCACGGCAGAGAGAATCAGATATTAAGTGTTATAGTTAGCCTGTCTGTCTGCTGCACTCAAGCCTTTATCAGGAGATGAAATGGCTTTTTAAGAGTTAGATCAAGGAAAATTAGATCAAGCACTCTTGATTTGGGAATTGAGCTGGATGTTGGTATTTGGGAGATATGGCTTTGGTTTTATTATTGTGTGTGTGTGTGTGTGTGTGTGTGTAATCACTGCCACTAACAAAAAGAGACAGATGAATAATTTTGTCCCTGTTTGATGTAACTACAAAGAATAAAGATTGCTTTTATACACATCATATGCATCCCACACACATATATGATAGAATATAGCTTCTTGCATTAAAAAACATTAATAATAATAATAATAATCTTTATTATTATGTATAATATAAAAACATAATTGTATTTATTAATCTGATATATATATATATATATATAAAATCATGTTTTCTATATTATATCAATATACACAAATATTATATAATTTCTAAAATGTATTATTAATATATACCATGTAACATATATAGTATTAATAGAATGTTATATTATATTATTACTTTTTTTTTTTTTAATACAATAATATTACAATTATATAATATTGTCATAATATAATTAAATTACTAATATTAATACCAATAATAAATTTGGCCCCAAACACAAACATATGTAAAAATAACAGAAAAAATATTAAAGCTAAAATCAAACCTTTTATCTTCAAATTATCAAATAATTGATGGATAACTATACAAAAAAGAAAAGAAAAAGGGAGACATCCTCTCATTAGGACAATGTTGTATTTTCTGTAACACAAAAGTGGTTTTATTACATCCTTTACTGACAGGAAAATAATTCCACATCAAATAAATACATTTGTTGTTTTATTTACAACAAATCCTTCTGTAAGAAGACTATCATGCTTTCATTTTGAAAGAGGTTATTAAAAAGAGCTACAAACATTGAACAATAAAACAACAGCAAATGTCTGAAAGTAGACGTAAATTAACAAAATGTTCAGATGGGAAATAATGATCGCAAAGCAAAAAAAAACAAAAAACAGACCCTACTCCTATATTCTCACAAGACTAAACTGATTTGTCATTGAATTACAAGCATGAAACATGAGATGATTTCCAAAACATGTCTAGACATCAAAGCTGGTGTGCAAAGCATTCAGATGATGCCTGATGTGTGAGGAGACAAACATGAGATCCGTATATTCCCTTGTGTAAACTGTGAGCGAGGAGTCACCCTTTCACCATCTCAAATATGAAGCTGCTCACTACTAAAACAAAAATCCGCTTTCAGAACATGTCATGCACCAGAATGGACACAGAAGAGAACATGTTCATCTCAGAAAGTTCAGCAGTTTTCTGGGACGTTCTCAAGGTTCTAACATTTCATCCTGCTAGAAAAAATTATAAATAGAGGGCTAATTTGAAACTAGATATCTAGGACCTAACTTAAAGTCGTTTAACTATACTCAAGTTGAAAGTAGTTTATAACTACTCATCTGGTGCAAAAAGCATCAACACAATCATTTTTCGAATTTGCACAAATGCGTAAAAAAGTTTCGCGTAACATTTTTTGACATGCTACACCGCTAGCCTGCTTGTCGGAAAAAAGTAGGTTTTTAGTGCAAAAACAACAGTATTTTGAGCTGAGATACTGTGAAAAATGAAGTTAAAGAAATAAGTTAGTTACTTTTTTACACTGCAACTTATGGTGCATTCAAGTCATGTCGGATAGAACATATTTACGAGTCGTTATTACGAGTGGGAAACTCTGAATTTTCTTTAAGCCCTGAGTTTGGGGCGTGTCAGTGAGAAAAACACATCGGATGCAATGGATGCAGCCAAAGACTATAGATATGCAGCGTCTGTATTGACGGTAAATTTGTTGAAATTAAGATAATTAAGTTTTTTTTTTTTTGCCATGTACAATAAAAGTACATAAGCTACATATACAAAATATTATATTATTGTATAATTACCATATACACTCTAAAAAATGCTGGGTTAAATACAACCCAGTGCTGGGTAAAATAGGGACAAACCCAGCAATTGGGCTGTTTTGACCCAGCGGTTGGGTTACTACCCAGAAGGCTGGGTTAAACATTTATCCCAAACGCTGGGTCAAAACAACCCAATTGCTGGGTTTGTCCCTATTTTACCCAGCACTGGGTTGTATTTATCCCAGCATTTTTTAGAGTGTATCTAGAAAAGTTAAATCGCCATCTTGTTCTGACCAAAGTGACTTGAACGCACCTGACGTCGTAATTACGACTTGTCAACTCGTAAATACAAACTTCCCAGGAGGACTTGAATGCAGCATTAGCAACTTTCTGGCACATTATTCTAGTAATGTGATTATAACGTCATCATCCTGGCCCTTCCAGAGCATCTCGCCCTCAAAGTCCACCATCTTGTGTTTGCGACAGCGCAACAAAATTCCCACAACTTTATCGGAGATTTTAACGTAGCGGTCAAACAGACGGCCGAAGGTGACATAGATACATCCCTCTTTATCCCGCTGGCCCATGCTGCGTATGATAAAACACATCTCCTCCATCTCACGGTGGATGTGTTTTTGAGCCCGATCGGCACGTTGGGCAGTTTTGGATCCCTCTTTGGGCCGTCCGTATCCCGTGTCGCCCTTTTGGAGTCGAATAGCCATGGCATGTTCATAGTCAAACTCTTCGCTGAAAGGGTTGAGCTTCTGACCTTCAATGTGGTCTTCAGCGAACCGCTGCCACGTGCTCCTCAAGTCGTTCATCGTGGTTATTTTAATCTGAGAGGACAAGATTCATGTGTTATTCAGGACCACATAATCACATCACAAAGTGTATGTTTTAAAGAATTAGATGCAAAAAAGAAAGGTGAATAATAATAAGAATATAAGATAAGGTAATATACGGTGAAAAGATGAATTTGCTTGGTTCGTGGATTTTGTTGCATGTACAAAAGTCAATACAGAAATTTATAAACAAATAAATATTTTAGAATTAATATAAAATATTTATCTATAAATATAGTTTATACAAATATTTTTTAGTCAGAAAATAATAATAAAAATTTATCATTTCTTTTTATTATCAGCAGTTGTACAATTATTTATTTATTTGATTTTACTGCATTCAACAAGAAAGAAATTTAGTTAATGTTATTCAACATGGCCTAGCTGACATCATCTACAAAAGATTTCAGAGGTTATTATTATTAAATCATTAGTAGTAGTAGTAGTAGTAGTAGTATTAATAATGATAATAATAATAATTTTTTTTTTAAGAATAATAAGAATAAGAATTCACTTTAAAAGACAAACATTTTTTCTTTAGATTAACATGCACAATAAGACTAGGAATGTCTATTAGGAAAGTAAATACTGAAATTTTGGATTTCATGTTGACTTTAAAACACTTTTTTTTTTAACAATAATACATTATTCAGATCTTGTTTAAGGTGTAGACAACCTGGCTTGTCACCAGACAGTCAAATTACACTACTGTCTGTCTGACATGCCTGAGCATTACTGTTAAATATTTCTCAGGATGTCTTCAAGGGGCACTAATTTCACATGGGTGCCATCTGAACCCGTGCAAATGCATCCAGTGAAACGCAAGCTGGTGATATACAAATACCACGGTGTCACAGCTGTGATGGATCTCACTCATCAAGTTGAGGGTGAGCATGCTGCTTTTTGAAGATCAGATGAAAATGATCCATCACTGTTTTTATTTACATATATTCCATTGCGGCAGAACATGCCTGAGTCTATGATGGAACATTATGCGGCTGTGATGATACAGTTGGACTTTGACTTGATCTAAGGCTCTAAAGCCCAGCTTGCATCTATAAATTGAAAGATTTTTTTATTTTTTATTAAAGCCTTGAATGAATAGTCAGTTCAGTTGCAGTTAGCGGTAATTCTCATCTTTTCAACCAAGAAACTCGTGTTCAACTATTTAAAGAGACATTCAAAAACATCAAAAGATTCACTATCAAAACAATTTTACTATAGATTTTGTGAGTATTTTGAGAGAGACAACCACATTTAAATTAATCTTGCCTCCATCCAATCAACAACTGATGACTAGAACCAAGTCCCCACCCGATTTTTATTTTTTCTACTTATTATTTTTATTATTTTATAATCCCTTGTACGTCACAATATGGAAGAAAATATGTGTGACTTTAATGTAAATGTGGCTTTCACTACCTGAACTTTTCAAGAGTGAATTTAGTTTTCACTCCCATAACAACTGAATTCAATGTGAACTCTCATTAAAGGAGCGACAACCGAATTACATTCAAGATAACAAAACAAATGACAGTGCCTATTTACACTGGTGTAAAAAAGGTACTGTATTTTCCGGAATATGTCGCAGATTTTTTGTCATCTGAAATGTGCTATGAATTATATTCCAAAGCAACTTATATAATTTTTATAGCGTATTTGCCATACACCGGTAGTATCAGTTTTGCTTTAATTTTGTTCCATTTATAATAAATGTTTTTTTATTATATGCCACTATAATTTATGTTTGTTTTAAACTTATATTTTCATTTTTGTTCTGTTCTGAATAACATTACATTAAATGAGTTGTTGTGGAGAAATAAAATACATGTTGTTCACACTAAGTGCTAATAGTCTTGGATGCTATTCACACAAAGTGTGAACAGAAGTAATACGCTATTTAAACTAAAGCTATAATATCTAAGCAATTGTGGGCGGAGTTAGTGAAAATAGCTTTTGCTAATAAGCTTTGTGCACTCAGAACAAACAAAAACTGCCAGAACATAGCTTGAATTGAACAGATAAACACACCTTTTGTCTGTTGACATGTTTCTTCGGTTCACTCTCATTCTGATCGCTGTT